AGGAGAAGAAATGGAATTCATGGGACCAGTAGGGAATGGGATCTAGGGTGAGGGTTTGATCAGGGCGAGAGTGGTGGTGGGCGACGACGTCGTCGTCGGGGTTGTGGAAGTGGAGATGGAGGCAGAGACGGATCGTGGTTATGGTTATGATGATGACGATGATGATGGGCGCACAAGACAAGGTGGCAAAAAAAAATTAAAAAAGGCCTAACCGGGTGTGACCGTTTGCACTTAACGGTCAATAAACAGGACCATTAGTTTAATTGGACGGAGGGACGACAAGTGCATGCTTTTGCATTGTAGAGGGATGACAAGTAGAGTTAATTGATAGTAGAGGGATGACATGAAGCCAATCCATAGTAGAAGGTTTAGAATGCACTATTTTGGATAGTAGAGGGACGATAGATGGCCTTAACCCTTTACACAAAAACAAGGGGCCTTGTTTTCATTAGACATTAGGCTAAACAGGATGGACGGTTCAGATATGATGACACGAAATTAATGTGAATGCGTGTGAGATTATAAGATGCCAATGGTGTTAATGAGTATATGGTAATATTTCCTCCATGATTCAGAAAACTATGATTCAAAAGATTTTTCTTTTTTTTTTTTTTCTAAAAAAAAGGGAATCCGTAACAGGTTCCACACGGCACACGCGCAAACCAATACCCCAAAGAATACTATATCAACCAAAGCAGCCCCTCACTCATCTTTTTCCATATTCCGTTTCCTCTCTTCTCTCTTCTTCTCCCTCCTGTTGCATGGACTGAAGCACCATCGGCTATCATCAAGATGTCTCGTAGCTGCTCTCAGTGCGGGAACAATGGCCACAACTCGCGCACGTGCGCGGAAGCCGCTGGCGGAGGCGGAGGTGGAGGTGGAGGAGAGAACGGAATCATGCTCTTTGGTGTGCGAGTCACGGCCGAGGGGTCCTCGTTCAGGAAAAGTGTTAGTATGAATAACCTGTCGCAGTATGATCAGCCGCCTCAAGATTCTAACGCCGATGCTGGTTACGCCTCTGACGATGTGGTTCACGCCTCCGAGTCAGGGAGGAGCCGTGAGCGGAAGAGAGGTAGTTAATTTAACTAATTCTTCTAAATATTTCAGATCTGTTTCAATTAAATTTACAGAGGAATTTGTTTTTTTTTTTTTTTAAATCTGGATTGGTTTTTCATGATAGGTGTGCCATGGACAGAGGATGAGCACAGGCTGTTTTTGTTAGGATTGCAGAAAGTGGGGAAAGGTGATTGGAGGGGAATTTCGAGGAATTTTGTCAAGACACGGACGCCGACTCAAGTGGCGAGTCATGCGCAGAAGTACTTTCTTCGGCGGACTAACCAGAATCGCAGACGCCGCAGATCTAGTCTTTTTGACATCACCACCGATACGGTTGATTAATTACCTCATCAAATCAAATCATATTTCATGCTCTGTTACGCTATTTTAGTACTGAATCTGTTTATTTACCAAAATTTACAGTTCGCGAGTTCTCCAATATTGGAAGAGGAACAAAGCCACCAACCAATTCCTTTCCCACAGGAAAACACGAATCGCACTATTGGAGGTTTTCCAATGTCAACATTTCCGGTAACTCTCACTCCGGTGGCTTTACCAGTCGCGGGAGAAAGCTCTATGGAGAAACTCACATTAGGACGGAGCAATCAAGGAAGAGCCTCGCCCAAGCTCATCCGTCCGGTTCCAATTCTTCCAATTCCTCCATCAGCAAAACTGGCAAATCTTAATTTGAACCAGAAATCTCCTCCCGCAGAGGACTTGCCTTTATCACTGAAGCTCTCCACACCATCCTCCGAGGAGAAGCAGGAACCGTCACAACCACCGCCGCCGCCGTCGTCTTCTTCGTCAACGCACTCCTCTGCTTTCCAGACAATTTCCAGTGGCGACAGCATCATCAGTGTTGCTTGAAGAAAAAAGTATCGAGTGTGATTGGATTAGATTTGATAAGATTACATAAATTAGAGGAAAAAGGAATAGATTATTAGGTGATTAGGTGATTGATTCCTTGTTTGTACAGGGTAATTAAGAAAGTGCGGTGTCGTTTTCGTTTGTGGGGTATTATTGTTGGTTTTGTGGGCGCCGGGACGTAGTGTCCTTGTTATCGGGTCTGTTGTTCCTCGGCAACTTTGGAGGACGAATGAAGTTTCAGGAATCGAATGCTCTGTTTATGTGACTCCTATTTTTAAGCTCTTTTTTTTTTTTTTAAATCTAGATTGCATACAGTTTAATTTGTGAAAACATTTAAATATTTTTACGAAAATAAGATATTTTTTATGAAACAAATTAACTAATTAAAACCCTCATGAGAGATAAAATTTTGAACTATAGCTATACAATTAAGATTTATTAATATGTTTTGGTATTTTTTCAAAACATAACTATATTTTTTGTGCAATTTAAACTGAAAAATATCATTCCATAAATATAAGTGGTCATAGATTTTCATTGAGTCAAAAGAACAAATGGAGACCATCCATACCTATCTATATAGATAAGGGGAAATTTGTTCTTGTCTCAAATGTGTTTGGCTACTTTTGTTGTTCATGAATTGTGTTCACCTACTGGATTTACATGGGAACTAAAATTTTATCCACTACTCCAAATGTGATACATGCTCCTTTGTGTGAAAGGCTTCCTAATTTTCCAATGAATTTTTATGTTACAATTTCTTTTTGCTTTAGTGGCTGGTTGGATGCTATTGGATCATTCTCATTTGCAGCGAAACCACCACAAGAAGATATATTCTTCGCATATTCCCTGGTCGGCTAGTGGCTTACTATCATAAATGACTTTGAGTATTGTCATTTAGATTGAAAAAGAAAGGTTATAAATGAATTGAATACATTAGTATATTAATAACTTCAAATATGTATAAGCATATCAAATTACAAGCCTCGTGTAATATGAAAGTTGTAATATTATAGTTATAATATCACATAAAATTATAAATTTATAATCATAATATAACATTAAATGAGTATAATGTGATATTAAATAAGTAGATGAATACAATACCACGAGTAAATCTATAAATTAAACAAGTTAATTATATAATGGCAAATTATATTATAAATGAATAGTGTTACGTAATATTATAATTATAAAATTTTTGATATGGAAAAGTCAATTATAATCTTTCAATCTCTTTTAGTCTCATCTCTTAACTTAATAGCTATTATTAATACTCAAATGACCTGTCTTTGGCAATTAAAAAAAAAAAAAAAAAAAACCCTCCCCTCCCTATTTCATTTTATTCAAACAAACAGGGCCTTATGTCATTAATCTAAGGGAAAAAAATCCTA